AATAGTTGGAAATGGTAAGCGGTCACTCCAGCTGTGAATGATATTCATTAGCAATGTTTCAATAACTGACAAGTAATGTAGAAGGTGTAATAATTCACAGGACCCTTAGGGGGCAGTTTTTCTTAGATATTCTTCCTATTTCATAAAGGTTATTCAAACTGCTTAGACCATACCTACTACATTTAGCTTCTCTTTGAAAGCACCAGTGAGTAGGCCTGAGAAACAGAAGGCCAATCAGACTGTCAGAAGGCAGAGTCATTCCCCTAAAAGGTAAACCAAAGTTGACTTGTGCCTCTGTGTCATCCCACTTTGGCTGTCTCTCCTGGTCATAACAAGGGTAAGGAGAAACCGTACCTTTTCACTTTACAATGAATCGAATAAAAAAATCCACTGATAGGAACAGCAGTATCATCTAGGAGCCATCACAAACTATGACAGCTTCGTGAAGTATCGTTTATCACAAAGAATGCTTTTTGAAAGACTAATGTTCACCACTCAGCTTCTTAAGGAAAAACCCTCTATGGCTGCAGATAAGCTATTTTCAAGACTACCTAGGCTTCTAAAGAAGTGCGCCTTTTGTTGACTTTTTTAGACCTAAACTAGTTAACAAGTATGTAAATAATACAAAATAATAACAACTCATTGTGAAAGCTGGGGCAATCAAAGAAAACCTATACTGTACACCGATAAATACTTAATGCTGTATTCATATGCCTTTATGACAAGATATAGTTTCCAAGGTTGGAGCCTGCAGGGCATTGCGCAGCAAGATACAGTTGCTTATATATTTCATTATAATTTAATAGGACCCTGATGAGCTTTCTTCATGAATATACCTGAGAATAATTAGAACTGTATAAAGAGCTATTAATTGAAATTTTCTAAAGCCACAGTAGTGATTTTTGCAATAGTCGCATTGTTCTAAAAAAGATCTAATGCAAATGTTAGCTCAAGTTATGAATATTCAAACATGCAAAACCAGAAACCAGGAACTGACAGCCATATTTTAACTAAAATGGAAACAATTTCAGGATCACAAAAATTATTTTGCTTTATACCAATGACTCATCGCCTATTTTATTCATTGGAATTTACTTTAACTATTTTCAGGGATTCTCCACACGGATTTCTTGTCTTTTTCTATTGTCCTTTTCTTAGCAGGTAAAAGGCTCCAAGCTTCCTTACTGGGAGTTCTGCAGCTTTGTATTCATTCCCATCTTCTAGTCAACACATTATGTGCAACCTGCACTTGCCCAGATTTCTTTCTCTTACAAAAAACCCCCCACAAGCAGCCCTGCAAGTAGGAGTCTCAATCTGTGAACCGCTCCTTCTCTACTGGTAAGGATTAAGCTATCCTACCACTATCCAAACCAAAAACATCAACTGAAAACCAAAAATCATTACAGAAAAAGGCCTGTTCCGCCCCTATCAGAAATTTCTAGAGCTGATGCGACAGGGACTCGAGTTCGGGGCGAAAACTTGGGCGCCCGCACGGTCCGCGGCCGGCTCCGACCTCGCCCCGCGCCAGGAGGGCGCGGTCGCAGGGCGGCACACCCGCGCGACGGGGGGCTCCCGGGCGCGGACAGGCGGACCGCCGAGCGCGTCGGGGTCGCAGGCGACCTGGCCAGCCCTGCCCTCCCCAAGGGGGGACCCGCGGAGCCGCGTTCCGGCCGGGCCGTAGGTTCGTTCGACGCCGCCCGGGAGGGACGCCACCCCGCAGACCTGGCGGCGGCGCTCCGGCCGCAAGGATATTGCCTCAGACAGGAGTCCACCTCGCCCTCGTCCGGCCCGGCCTGGCCGTCGCCCCCGTCTTCCTCGTCCACGAACTTGTTCTCATCGTACTCATCCACGTCCACCTTCCGGAAGCGGGCCGACGACACGGTGTTCTTCGACATCCCGGATCCCGACCGCGGCGAAGGCCTCTTCTGGGCGCTGGCTCTACCTCACAAGCCCAGCCCGGTCCGACCCCGCAGCCGGGTGTCCGACTCACTTCCCTCTTCCGCTCTGGGGCGTCGCCGGCAGCAGCCGCTCGGGTGCTTCTGGGCCTGCGCGCTCGCCGCACTTCTTCGCGCGTCTCAGCCCCCGGACGCCGCCCCCGCTCTTCCCGGGGGGCGCGCGCGGGCGGGAGCGCGCGGCGCGCAGGGCGCAGTGCGCAGGCGCGGGCCAGCTGCAGGAAAGGGGCGGAGTTGAGCTCAGGGGGCGGGGCTAAGGGGCGGGCCGAAAGAGGCTACCGTCTGAGGTAAGAGACTACTGGCTGCTGTAGTGCGCCACGTGATCCCAAGGAGGTTCCCATAGAAACGCTTTTCTGCGGTCCAGTCTTAGGGGGTCTTAAATTTTCGGCTATGGGCACCCTAGGCGGGTGGCCTCGGCTTTTGCTGCCGTCGCCGCTACCACAACCGAGCACCTATTTTTGGGGTCCTGTGTAAGTTCCGGCCGGTCCGGACCTACCCGTGGAGTGGGATGGACAGGTTGCGCGACCAAGTCCCCTGCAGTCGGCAGGAGTATGGGGCGGAGTGATGCACGCCGTGCGCCCAATCTGGTTCTACTCATCGGAGACGTAGCTTCGGACCGCGCGCTGGCAGGAACTGCTTTCCCGAGCCGGGAGCCCCCTTCCCGGGGTTGGAGCTACGCCACGCAGCTAGCCAGAGGTCCCCAAGGACGGAGTCAAAAGGTCAAATCTTATCTGTCAGCGCTGTGTGACAGCATCACCACGGGACCTGCAGAATCTGAACTCGGTATTCTGTCCATCAGGAGGGAGGGGAAGGTGTCTGGGCTGGGGCTGGAGAACTGATAGAATTGGGGTGAACTTGTGCGGTTGGGAGGAGGTCCGTGATTAACACCTTACGTGGTTATTAGGAGCAGGAATGCTAGAAGAGGGTGGGCGAGTTATGTTCTCCAGTGCCCAGGGAGAACAAAATAGGATAGCAGAATCTAGATGTCTCAGATTGATATTTATGATTTAAGACTTACGTGAGCCTTGGTAAGCCAGCTTTTTATTGTGTTCCACATCACCATTTCTGAAGGCAGAATTCTTATTGAAGAGGTAAAGGCACTAAGATTTAGGGAATGGTAGTGTGCTCTGTGTTTGACACTGTAATGCAAGTCTTTGCAAAATAAAATTAACGTAGACATTTAGGTGGACACCGCTCAGGGTGCAGGTCCGGTTCAGGTTCAGCACTTTCTGAAGGCTCCCTGTGGTCTTGCTGATTTGGCAGCCTTGGGAACCCCATCCTTGGTTGCCTGTGCTCTCAGGAAGAGAGTACTGGGCTTAGTTAGCATTGGAAACCCTGGCTTGAGTCTTGACTCTTCCCCTGTCATCTGCGTGACTGAGGCATGTTGCTTGCAATTTTAAACCTCAGGTTCTTTGTCACTAATGTGGGGGATAATACTGTATTCTTGACAAGATTGTTCTCAGGATTAAATACATTAGAATTCTACATGAATATAAAATGAATAATACCTGTACTATTGGTTTTGTCATTAGTTTCATAACTTAATGATATATCATGCTTTTCTTGCCTGTGAAAAGACCCCTAGATTCTGAAGAGTTTGCAAAGACATTTTCTATCTTCTTTTCACATATCACCGACTATGCAAAAGGTACTCACTAAATGGTTGATTAAATAAAATTTGTAAGGCAGTGCAGTTTGAATTACACTGGGAATAGTGAATTAGTTAGAAGAGGAAATCTCAAAATCAAACCTTTGTTGAATATATATACGTATATAGTATATAGTATGTACATGTATGTATATATATATTTATATATGGAGAGAATGCTCAAGAGTGGAGTGCATCTTTTTATTGGGAAGAAGCAATGTAGCATTCCTTCCCCTCCCCCCAAGGAAATCATCTTTCTAGAACATACATCTTTTAGGCTATAGAAGAGACATTTCCTTAACTTATAAAAAAAATATACTGATAAAACTCTTCTAGGATTGTCTTAAGACAGCAAATGAAAAATTTCTACCTGTTGGTAATATTTATTTTAAAAAGTCATATACCGAAGTCTAAAATCAATTCTCTCATCCACGGCATTATATAACTTAGAATAAAGATGTATTTTAATATTATTTGTTTCAATCTTTTACAAACTTTTTTTTTTGCAAACTTCAGTAAAAGCTAAACAGTGTACTTTTTTAGATGTGAAAGCTGGATCTACTTTTTGTTCTTTTACATCGAGATTTTCTTTGAAGAGAAAATTGAACAGTAGGTGCACTGTGGAGTGCAAATGGAAACAAGGACTCAAAAGCTTTGTACCTTCTGGTGCATTTCTATTCTTTTGTATTGTCTTATTTAGCTAATTTTCTTGTTCCTCTATTTTAGAACTGGCAAGGAATCCTGGGGTAGAAATCAACTTAATGGAATAGTGAGAGGAATTTTAAAATAATCAGCTGCTCAGGGTGTAATTGTCTTGATTTCTCAGAATTTTACTTTACATGTTCAGATTGTTAAATGTGACAGTATTTTTTAATGTTGCCACACAGTAATGACAGTGCCTGGTACCACAGCAGGTGCTCAATACAATTCTATCTAATCAATTCATGATCAGACAAGTGCATTTTGGAATGATTCTTATAATGGATGTGTTAATTATTTCCCCACCCTCATTATCTAATAGTTAACTGTTTAACTCTTTAAGGACATTTTTGTGTGCGAAGAAACTTATCCTTAATTATCTTTTAATTAGAACATACACAGCATTTCATTTCTTTGCAATTTCTAATGTTAACAATGATATTCAATTCATCCTAGTTAATATTATTCTTGATTATTTTAATTTTGCAGATGTATACTTTCCCCTGAATAAATGATCCATGAGGCTTTAAGATTTATTGGTGTTTCAGATGCAAATAATCTGGTTTGGATCACTATTAAAACAAGACTGAATCTAGGTTTTTGTCTTCCTGTGGAGCTCCTTATTTTCATGATGATGCAAAGAGACAAAGATCTTTATAGTTACAAGAGGCTTTAATGAAACTATCCTTGATAATAGGGCTTTTGAGATATTTTAAGACAAATACTTTACCTCCTTTGTGCTTCTTTTTGTCAAATTTGCCACCAGACAAGTCAAGGTATCAAACCTTGTGGTATGGCACTATTGTTTTTATTATTTGAAATGTCAGTGAACTTTATTAATGTGTCAAACTGGTATTATGGTGTAAGATTTTTCTCATGATGGTGTTTTGGTATCATTGTTCATTAGTAAGATAATTACTACAGTATAAAAGTATTTTTAGCATTATGATTATATATTATAGTTTAATGCTCCTACTGGTATCAGGATCAACTAGTGCTATATTGAAACCATCAATATTTGACATTTTTTCTTTGTGATTATTTCTAGCTTTACATAATTTTATGATTACACCGTGAAGTAGAATAGGTACAAAGAACTATGTAAACTATGTGTTAGTGCTTCAAAGATTTAAAATATTATACATTTGTGCTGTCTTAGGAAAAATAGTGCCAGAAGAATAAACGTTGTTTGTTAAACACTGGTGCAGGAAACCTTTATTCCATTTTAATGTTTTGACTGCTAATAATAAGAAAATGCTATGGGTTTAGATTGCTGATCCTTTGAACTTCCCATCTCTCTTTTTTAAAAACTTCTAACAGTGGCCTTAAGGAATTGCTCATCATAATATTTGACAAAATGGTAACTTACATCTTCTAACCAGTATTAATATCATTTAGTTATTTTTCTTGTGTTATTGCATTAGCAAGACCTTTAAAGAGTATTGAAAAATTTAAAGTGGGTGTTCCTGCTTTGTTCCTCTGGTACTTCATCAGTTGGTGTTATATTTACTGTTTTATGACCTGTAGAAATGATTGCTGAAATTATCAAAACTGTTTTGGGGGACTTAAAGATAAAAATCATATCAATTTTGATCTTTTAAGAAGGTAATAAAGTATGTTTATGTATTTTTGAGCACTGAAACATCCTCAGATTCCTGGACTAAACTTCATTTGGTTATGAACTGTTACTATTTTAATTACTTGTTGGATTTATATATATTTTGTTTATTTGGTTTTGGATCTGTAAAAGAAAGGAAGATTGATCTATAATTCTTTGTGCAATCTTTACCAAGTTTTTTGTTTTGTTTTGTATTTTGTGGTAGTGGAAATCAAACCTCAGGTCTCATGCATGCTAAGCAGCTGCCCCAGCCCTGAGCTATATCTCATGCTGTTTTATCCAGTTTTGATAGTAGGGTTGGTTTAGCTTTGAAGTTGAACTTCTGCAATTTTAACCATATTATCTGTGCTCTGGAATCATTTGAATGATAGGAAATTCCCATGTTGTGTGTTTTAAGAAAGTTCAAGAATATGCCCATAAAATTAATTGGGCTTTCTGTTACTTGGTCGTCTTTAATTGTCTTCAATGGTTCTTGATTTGTTTCATTTCCTTTTATTCTTGGTCAACTTACAAATTTATATCTTCATAGAAAATCCTGTATTTCATCCAGATTGCTGATTCTTTGACAAGAAATTACAGAATTTTTTAATAGTTATTTTAATATTTTTCATGACCTTGGACCTTTTGATTTTTCTCATTGCTATTAACAATTTAAGTAAAACATTAAAATCAATTTTTTCTCCTTCAATTTGATTATCACAAATTCTGTAGTATATCTTTATTTTTATAAAAACTTAGAAAATAAACAATATCAGACTCATAAACTTGATAAAATTTGAAAGATCCTGCAATCCCTATCATTTCCTCTGATCATAATACTTTTAATATTTTATTAAAAAGTCATTGATGGGCTGGAGAGATGGCTCAGTGGTCTAAAGCACCTACTTGAAACAAGCTTGGCAAAGCACAAGGACCGCGGTTCAATCCTCCAGCACCACATGCCAGCCCGCCCCGCCCCCTGGTGGGCTGAGCTGGCCACACACACACACACAATAAATAAATGTAATAAATAAAAATAAATAAATATTAAAAAAAAATAAAAAGTCATTGAGTGTTTTTTGTGTCAGAGACTTGGTGAGCCCTTTATTTACATTATTTAATCCTTTTAGTATCTCTAGTCACTAGAAATTAGTGTTGGCAATTTAGGGATGAGTAAACTAAGTGTCAGAAATACTATAATCTGACCAGTAATACTCGATTAGCAAGTGATAGGTTATGGAAATGAGTTCTGTCAAGTTTTTCTCATTGTTTCCAAGTATAATACTTAACTTTCTTTGCCCTAAAAGTAAGGAAATAACCAAAGCTCAGTGGTCTAAGTAAATCTACACCACAGCTTAAAATGGATTGTAAACTGAACCCAAAAATATTATTGTAATGATTTTTCAAGGATACTTGGTTTTTCATATTCCTGTGACCTTTTTCTGCCTTACAATGGTATTTTTGGGCTAGACATAGACCCTGGTATGGTTGAAGTCTCAATGGCGCCCCACCCCCAAACTCATATGTTCACTGGGGGGCCTAGAGATATGACCTGGTAATGATGAAGCTGCTCACCTCGTGGGGCGCTCACCCATTGATGAGTTTGTAGCTGGATGGGCTGTTAGGAGGTGCAGCCCAGCTGGAGGAAGCGGGCTGCAGGTATCAGACTGTGGATGCTTTGTAGCTTGACTGATGTTGCTTTCTGCTTGTCAGTTTTGAAGACAGATTGTATGGCAACAGATTGGATCTTTGTTTTGTTTTTGTATTTGTGGTACTGGGGATCGAACCCAAGGTCTAGTGTATGTTAAGCATGTGCTCTAACGGTGTACTATACCCCTAGCTTTTGGATGTTTTTTCAGTTTAGTTTTTTTTTTCTTCATGTATTTTTAGTATAGGATCTACAGGATCTACAGGATCTACAGGGTCTCACTAAGATAGGTCTCATAGTGATTCTCCTGTTTTCAGCCTCCCAAGTGCTGTGATTACAGGCGTGCATCACCACACCCAGTATCAGTTGTCCTCTCAGCAAGTCCCAGGGGCTGGCCGGCATGGCAGGCTGGGGATTGATGGGTCTGTTTTTATAATGATCAAAAATGCTGAATTTGTCACGTTGGGGCCTTTTTGAACATAACATACCAAATCATAGACATATGACTCATTACCTAATAAGAAACTTAAGCAGTACTTCTTTAAATTATAATTACTTTATACATATGGTAACATTATATCCAAATATTTCTATAGAACGTTGTAGGCCAATAATGGAAATCTCTTTTTAAAAACTATATTTATGTTTCTTTTAATAAAAAATCTACTTTTTTCCCTAATTTTTTTTCTTTATGCCCTCCTCCTCTTTTACAGAGTATTAATTATGTGCTGTAGGTAATGGCAAAGTAGCTTATTAGCTTACTATTTCTTTATATGCATGTATATATATAAAGAAAAAAATTAATAGCAAGTGACAAATCAGTGTACAGTCCTTGTTCTGCATCTTTACATATTTCCAAGAGGGAAGTGAGACAGAAAATGTGAATTAAGCATAAATAAAGCTACTTAAGTGGCTCAGAGACAAGGAGTATTTCTAGAAAAAATATGTTTTGAACAAGATTTTATGAGAAGCTAAAGGTATACATTGGTGAAAAAGAAGGTATTAAAAGGAAAAAGGATACATGCATACTATTCATTGGGGAGCTATATTAGAAGAAGGAAAATTGGGTGTTAAAAAAAAGAAAGATGTAGGGGCTGGGGAGATGGCTTAGTGGAATAAGCGCTTCCCTGGCAAGTGCAAGGGCCTGAGTTCAATCCCCGGTTCTGCAAAAAAAAAAAAAAAAAAAAAAAAAAAAAAAAAAAATATTTGTCTCTTGAAGGATAGTTATATAGGCACTTGGCTGAAGTGAAGAGGGATGTTAGAGGTAGAGATGGATGGATTTATTGGGATGTAGATTCAACTTTACCACATGCATTTTGCCTGAACATTCTGACAGATCCCAAGAGAAAAATTAAAGAGAAAAGAGAAGGTGCTTGTACTAAAGGAAATAACAATTTTGCAGATAGGGAGAGGCAACAGGAGCTCTGGACGCCTATGAGAGTGGGTGAGTTTTACAAGGTGTGTGAGAGTGGAGGCTTTGAAGATGCTCCTTTATCATCCTGCCTCTGTCCTCTGTTCAGGAGGGAGAGTTCTGAGATGTGATCAAATTGAGCAGATGGCTAGGTTTCAAAATCAGTGTGTATAGCTATATATCAATTAGCAGAAGAGCTTTTCCCCACACAAAACTACTTTGAATTACTTTATAAAAAAATGGGCTGCCTAAAATCTTCTGCTCACAATTAAAAATGAGTGGAAAATCACACTGATTTGCTCTTGCAGGCAATGTTTAATGTCAGCAACTTCAGATTGTTTCCAGTTTTGCAGTAAACTTTTATGCTGAAACTAGTTTAGGAAGCTACTTAGTTTTGTTCTTTCTTTCTTTTTTTCTTTTTTTTTTTTTTTAGTGGAAAGATGCTGTGGGTATGCTAGAGTAATGACTTTTTTTCTGCATCAAAATATTAGCAGTGTACTAATGACTCCATTTTATTTCTGTCACTTTTGTTTTATTTTTTGGGAAAGGTCTCACTGTGCAGCTCAGGCTGGTCCTGACTCACTATGTGGCCCAGGGTGGCCTTGAACTCGCAGTGATCCTCCTGCCTCTGCTTTCCAAGTACTGGGATAACAGGCATGCGCTACCATGCCTGGCCATACTGTCACTTTTGAAAATAAAAGAATGATATCAAATTACATATGGAAACATTTTGTATTACATTAAACATGGTATAGTTTTATAATTGTTGATATGATAATTCAGGTTTTGCTTTTATTGTATGAGTTTATCGCCATGTTGGTCAGACCTAAAAGAATTTCCAAATTTTTGTTGCCATCTAATAAGTGCTCTGGCATTTGTTTAATTTTACGTATTTATTAAATGTAGATTTTGATTCTTTTCTCCCTTCTTATTTTCATCTGCCTCTCTGCTACTTGCAGATCATTCTGTAATTTCTACTTCTTTTCTTTCTTCTTATTTTCATCTGCTTCTCTGCTATTCACAGACCAATCTGTAATTTCCACTGTCTCCTCTAGTTTTCCAATGGGGAGGTTTTGGAGCCTTTGCCATTATAGATTGACACTTGAGGCATATTTAAATGCCTCACTGCAAGCCTGAGTTTATGTGAGTTTTCACCAACCTGGATTAGTGGTAGATCTCTATAAGGCACCAGCACAAAAACAACAGGAATCCTGAGTTCTGGAATCAGGTTGGGTTCCAGTTGTCCACTTGCCCCTTGGAAGGACTGTCCTGGGAAGACATTGCTTAAGGGATAGCTCTCTAAAGCTGCCTGAGCCATTATGTTCTGATTCCCTTTTGTCTGGGGAAGAACATCAGTGAAGTAAGGTTTTATTCCTGTGATGGTGTTGATTTCATATGCATTGTGCCTGTCAGCCATTGCTCTCCCTGTTAAAATGGGCTGGAAAGCAGTGGATCCTGAGACACCCTTAACAAAGTTATTGAGGAGAGAATGCCAGATCCCACCGCTGATTGGACTCAGTGTGACATGGGGCCATAAGCTAGCCAGGATCCTGAGAGCTTCACGGTTCCATGCTGCGGCAGGAAATCCATCTCCAGTATGATAGAGGTGAGAAAAGTAAATATTAAGAGTGATGTATGGATTCATCATCAGGAAGTTATACATTTTGCTGATGCAGCAGTGGTTAGCTTCATTACAAGGGGAGTTGTTTGAATAGAGAATGATATGCTTAATGCCGCTATTATTGTGGATGGCTATGTCAAGATAACCGTGCATCTCAAATAGCATTGATTCTGGGTGGGTGTGATTCCCTGTGCAATTTGTAGCATGGCCTTTTTGCACCAGGCTACCAGAAGAAGTTTTTAATTCATAAAATGTGAGGTGTTTTGTTGGAGGATTTGTTGGCTCATAAGGGAATCCAAAAATCTGATGAAATGCTGTGTAGGGAACTCTTGCTTCCTCCCCTGTCCGGATGTGGTAAGGACAGTTAATGCAGTCTAGAGAGAAGTTTAGCCAGTGATAAGGCTTAACTATGGTTCCACCATGTGCAAGATGTTCCTCGTATAGGGGCTCCATGGCTAGTGCTATTCTCTTCTAGTTGCAAACCTAAACAAGAAGGAGAAATTGTATATAAGACCATTGCAGAAAAAAACTGAAGACAATGCATGCATTGAGTCATGCCTTTCTGTAAAGGAGGAAGAATATGTTTAACAACTGTAGTAGCATTTTTGATTCTAAAAGATAGCGACATACATGAATACATTACAAAATCAGGATTCATTTTTATTCATTGAGGGCCCAGGAAGATGGAAAGGAACAGAAATGCAGACTACACCTTCACCTATTTCATGGATTCTAAATCAGCACAGCAAATAGACTGTCAGTGCAAGTTCTACAAACAAATTGCCTTGTTTTAAGACTGAGCTCTGCACTTAACCAGCTTGGTGGCCTTTGGTAAATTAACTCTTGAGAACCACAGCTTCCTTGTCTGTAGAATGAAGACTGTAATAGTACACACCTCAGAAGGTTACCATGGGGCTGAATAGTGAAACAAATATACAGTGCTTTACTATGTGCCTGGCCACTAGCCAAGGCTAAACAAAGATTAGTTCTTAGAAATAATAGTACAAATCTCAAATCTAGAAGATTCCTGTTCATGAAAATCCATAAGAGTAAGCAGGAATTTTGCATTTTTGTTCATGATTTCTTCCTTTGTCACTTCCCTAAATATGGTAGTGCTAATACATCGTGCAAAAGTTTTGAATGTGCTTACATTTTATTTTTTGGTACCAGGAATTGAATGCAACCTTGCTCTTGCCAGGCAGGTGCTGTGCTGCTGAGCTGTATCTCTGGCCTTGAGTTTTCATTTTAAGTCAGCTGTTTCTTAAAACCGTTAATAAGGGCCGTGGAGATAGTCTAACACACCTGCTTAGGCAAGCTTAGGCAAGTGCGCAGGGACTGCGGTTTGATCCAGGCACCACTTGTGGCACCAACCCCGCCCCCAGGGTGGGCGGAGCTGGCCACACACACACAAGAAACAACAACCCATTGATAAGTTAGAGTTATTATCTATTTGGGGGATCTTGGGGTCTATTTTGCTTATTAGTAGAGACTTTTGGAAGTGCCTCTGTGTCTTCTTTGAATCACTGACATTTGAGAGTTTATTTCAAGAGTTTATTGGTGGGCCTTGTTATAGGATTTTTGAAAAATTTACTATTTGGAAAACAAATTTATGTTATTTAGAATATTTCAAGTCAGTATTTTCTGGTTTGTTAAATCACATATGTTAAGAAATTTTCCTTTGAGATGTTTATTCAATTATCATTGGTTGTAAGCAACTACCCAGGGTATTATAATATAGTTTTAAAAACATTTAAAAATGAATGTTTATTATGTGTCATGATTCTTGTAGAAAAAAATTAAAATATTAATATGTTATTGAAAACACTTATCAGTCCTCTCATTTTGGTCCAAGAACTTTATATTTGTAAGCCCATGGAAAAGTTACTAGAATTATAGCCAAGTTAATTCCAGTCTACCACTTCCAGTGAAACCTGCAGTGAGAATGGAGACATTAAGACATATTTGTAGTTGTGAAGATCCCGAGGGGTCCTCAGCCCAGCTAGGGTGGTAGCTAACAGTCCATCAAGAAGGGAATGATTTGGGGGATAAGTTGTGGGAAGTATGAGAGGGCCATGAGCTGG